ATCAGAAACTTTTTTGTACAGTCCCATCCTTGGCTAAGTACATAGTCTCTTGTGATTGGATGGTTCCCCAGCAAGGATCCTCCGGTTCATCAAAGAGGAGCGGCTCTGGGCTGCTGCCTTGTTCTGGTCCAAGGATACACTGTTTTAATGATAAAATGTTGGGAAACAGTGTATACTTACAAATGCTGATCAGCATCGATTTAGAATGTTTCGCTCCGGTCCTTGGCTATGTACATAGTCTCGTGTGGTTGGATGGTTCCCAGGCAAAGATTCACCGGTTCATCAAAGAGGAGCGGCTCTGGGCTGCTGCCTTGTTCTGTTCCAAGGATACACTGTTTTAATGATAAAATGTTGGGAAACAGGTACACTTACAAATACTGATCAGCATCGAGTTAGAATGTTTCGCTCCGGCTGTACCTCAATGATTACGCCATCTTCAGAATCAGATTTGTTTACTCGGTAATCACCTTCAACACCTGCTCACTGAAGGTTATCCTTCTGAAGGCTAAAAAGTCGCTTTTTATGTTTTGGTTGTATTCAGAGATCTCTTTTCTACTTTCCCACATGGTAACAAAAAATTTTCGCAGGTCAAGGTGATGTGAGAGTTGGAATTCCATCGAGCGGTGTCTTCATGAGAAGTTAACTACAAGAAAGAAAAGAAACACAGAAAAGGGGCAGCTCCTATGGAAATCAATATAGATTTTGGTCTTGATCTACAGATCGATCTTCATTCAAGTTAACTGCAAGAAAGAAAAGAAACACAGAATAGGGGCAGCTCCTATGGAAATCAATATAGATTTTGGTCTTGATCTACAGATCGATCTTCATCCAACGGTTCAATGGGCGCCATTCTTGTTACATACCTGCTCGTAGACTCTTTCGTGATTACACTTTTTCTCAGTTTGTTGAGCCCAATCTGTACATTTATCCATTCTGACCTCCATTGATCTTATTCGTATAAGCCGTTATCTCGATAGTCTGTGCAGTTCACCGAGTTTTTTTTGAAAATTATTTTTTTCGTTAAGCGGCTATTTTGAATTATCCATCCTACCTTCTGAAAGACGTGGTGGTCATAATGTATGTGCTGAGGTCGTTTAACGGTATTTTCATGACGATCGAAAAGTTATGAAAACTTGCCGTTTCAATAGGCCCTGATATATCGAGCTGCCGAAGGGCTCACTAGTGGGCGCAATGACAGCGACATCATTGTGAAGATGCCTTGAGTTCCACGAAATGAGACTCTTCTGACTAAATGGACCTGGCTCATGCTCTTTGTCGGAGTTGATAGTAAAGTCACAGCCCACATTGGAATCGAGGTTCATTGCCAGGCTAACTAGAGGTGTTCTGCTCACTTTC